CATACTCTAGATTTCATGTGCAAATACCACTTTGAGGTATGTTTGCTTACACAAACAGTCGACCCTCCCTCAAAAGTACCCACTTAAGGGAATCTCAAAACCTTTGATTATCCAAGCATGCCTTCGTGATTTATGAAGGCTTGCACTGCGAGAAATGTGGTTGTGTTATGCTAGATTCGAACCAGCGATCTCCTGTCTCGAGTGGGACATATGTCCAAGCTGTGTAGACGATGTACCACCGCACTATCCAGCCATGACAGTATTCGTAGTGTCGCCTCCACTTTCAAAACCGAAGTCGTATGGCGCACATAGTTCAATTTATAAATCTTTTCCACATTAAATCCACCTATTACATTACCATACACAATTAACCTGATTTCTCTCATGTCCATCCCAAAGAACTGCCTCTTAGATTTATGCGCTAAATTTTGTTTCCTCAGTCGGGTGTAAATATCGGCCTGAGCTTTTATTTGGTGGTCAACTGAGGCCAGAGAATAGTCGATGAGAGATGTAATTATTGACATGAGGATGTGATTAGATGTATTTTTATACTTGATGAGGTTCTCGTGAAAACTGATGTCGTTGATAGTGAAAGATTGACATGACGGAGTATCTTGAATCCTTACCTCATAGGCCAACTTGTTTCGTATTACGAAATTTGACTGAATTTGGCTTTTGGAAAATATTTCACTCCCAGTTTCGTAGAGGACACCGCGTCCAGGTATTCAGTTTTTTCCCTCCGTTGTGGACGTCTGTAAAGGAGTAATTAGTCATTAGATATAAAGAGCGCCTCAACGACATATTCTCAATCCCAGCCTTGCTGAATCCATGACTTCGACCGATTATCTAGAGAAAGGTAAAAAGCCAGCTGATTTCTTGACAACTCAGTCAATTGAGGAGTTTATATATGACTCACCGCAAACATCGAAATTTTCTCCTCATTGCTAGACATTAGATTTGCCAAAGAAGCCAAGCTCGAGAATTCTAGACTTGGCAGCCCAATTCCGAGGCCTAAGAGGACATTTGGAATTTAGACTCATTCCACCCATATTCACGTCCAGTAGGCCCATACAAAAGTTCACAAACTCTAACGATTCTTGGGAAGTCAACCATTTTTATTTGATTCACTCATTTCAACACTGTTATCCTGAGATCTCAGTAGTTCAACCCCAAGAAGGGGTATCCCCGCTGTAGGTGTCGTGGCTGTGTCATACGCGACCAAAAGATGCGGAGGCTGCGAAAGGTTTGATAAAATAACCTTCAGCTTCGACAATTTAAAGTCCATGGAACATGAACTAAAGGAGCACCATAACTAACAACTGAATGGGCGCTGATACACTCCTAAAATAGCTCTTACAGTTCACATTCATGCTTTTTTCCATCAATCATATTTTAAAGCCAAACATTACATTATAATTGATCATGGGTCATATTCACACGTAGCGAGCAGTTATCACTAGAATCTCTGCCAGCACAGACGCGACCATGTCAACAGGAGGGCAAGACTGAACACCTATACGCGGTGTCCTCTACGAACCTGGGAGTGAAATATTCTCCCAGAGCCAAGTTCAGTCAAATTTCGCAATATCAAAGAAGTTGGCCCACGAGGCAAAAATCCAAATTACTCCTCCATGTCGTTATTTCGCTCCCAACGAGTTTGACTCCTATCTTCGTCTCATCAAGTCTACAAGTACGACCAAGTACATCCTAATTCCAATGACCACACCACTCTTCGACCTTCTCTGGCCTCAGCTGGTCACCAAATACACGCCCACGCCGATATTTATACCCGACGGAGGAAGCAAAGCGTGGCGCACAAATCTGGGAGATAGTTCTTTGGAATGGACGTGAGAGGAATCAGGATAAGTCGACATGATGATGCGAAGGAAGGATATAACCTCGACGGGCGTGAAATTCTGAAATTTGGCTAGGAGTTTTACGAATTGGGCTTTGTGCGCGCCAAGACTTCGATTGCGAGGGTGCAGCTGACACTATCAAAATAAGCAAACGATGGAAAGTGTGGTGGTCCGCCTTCTGGTGGTGTTCTCCGGTATGGTTTGAGTAGCCTTGGCACCTACTCTACTTGGGAAAGAGACACCTCAGATCACATATCGCGCGGAGAAAAGTTGAAAGATGATGGAGGCATGTCTGGATAACTCAGGGTTTTTGAGACGTTCCCCTGGCTGGGTATTCACGGATGAGGGTTGACTTGGGGTGAAGAAAAAGCCACCATAACTTCGCAGTGGTATCTGCAAATGAAATCCGAGGCATGAGTGCTCTTCCCTCATGTTGAATCATCTATTCTGTACTTTTCTTTGATATTGTGTCATAGCTGGATAGCTGCATTCGCAATTAAAGTCTGATGCAAAAAAAAAAAAAAGACGTCCTACGAACCTGGGAGTGGAATATTCTCCCAGAGCCAAGTTCAGTCAAATTTCGCAATACCGAACAAGTTGGCTCATGAGGCAATGATTCAAAATACTCTACCACGTCAATTTTTCACTTCCAAAGAGATCGATTCCTACCTAAGCCTCTTCAAGTCTACAAGTACGACGTAGTACATCCCCATTCCAATGACCACACCTCTCGTTGACATTCTCTGGCCTCAGCTGGTCACCAAATACACGACTGATTTATCAAAGCGTGGCGCACAAATCTGGGAGATAGTTCTTCGGGATGGACATGAGAGGGACCAGGACAAGCTCACAAGATGATGCTGAGGATGGATGTAATCTCGAAGGGCGTGTAATTTCGAATTCTGGCAAGGAGTTTTACGTGTTGAGCTTGTGTGTGCCAAGACTTCGGTTGCAAGAGTGCGGGCGACACCACAAACACTGTGATGGTTGGATAGTACAGCGGTACGTCGTCTACATAGCTTGGACACATATCCCACGTGAGACAGAAGATCGCTGGTTCGAATCCGGCAAAACACAACCACATTTCTCGCGGCGCTGGTATACATGGATGACGAAGGCATGCTTCGATAACCAAAGGTTTCGAAATTCTCTTTGGTGGGTACTGACAGGGGAGGGTCGACTGTTTGTGTAAGCAAACATACCTCATAGTGGTATTTGCACATGAAATCTAGAGTATGAGCGTCCCTGACATCAAAAGAGTCATCCAACATGTATACATAGCACTGGTCATATGTCATAGCTAGATAGCTGAATATACCTCACATGTCTAAAAAAAAAGAAGATTAAACGTGTGCGGTCCGATTATGCACCAGAATTTATGGCCTTGAATGAATGGCAAAATAGTAGAGTTCAAGCTTGACCTACGCTTATCGCAGCATTGCACCAAGATGGTCTTGTAGAAGCATCATTTCAAATCATCGAGTTTGATATGAGGGCTGCTTGTTAAGTGGCTCGGGATGTGGGAGACGGATACAGTATATAACTAGGATACCCACTGGGGTCTGGCGTTACGGGAGCACTCAAGATTTACTAAATACAGAGGACTAAGCTTGAACAATTGTCTTTAGTATCCTACGAACCTAGTCGTGAAATGTTCTCCCAGAGCCGAGATTTAGTCACGAACAGGGGTAGGATGAATCATATTTGATGGATTGTCGGCATAGAGGAGCTGTGCTCGACATTTTGGTCAAAAAACATGTCGGCTGAGATTTCACAACTGCAAGAGAGTCGAACAAAAAGTCATCACCACTAACATACGATTCGCGGATGGGCTTAGGTCTATCTGGGGTCATTAAAAAAAAATCGACATCTCTCAAACTCCTTGTATATTTACGACGGAGCATTTCTCCGTCGATCCTACACCTGAGACCCACCGCCATGCTCGTCACATCACCTACCTAAACACGCCCTAATGAGAAAAGTCATGATGGAAATGGGACGTGTACAAAGGAGGAAGAAAAGGGAATATACAACGAGGGAATTACACAGATTCCCAATGACGACAGCAACCCAACGGTACGAGATGAAGGTACAAGGCTAGGGCGACTTACCAATCATAAGTTACTGTTAGTTTGCCTCTCCCTCATGGTTTCCCTTGAGGCCGCTACAAACGGTGGGAAGATGCGCACCCTCTCCGCGAGTCATCTCGGGGAAAGTTAAATAGTTGCCACCTTCAAGACCCAAATTCACGCTACTATTGAATTCCGGCTTTCATCCCGCGAGCCACAGGCCTTGAGGCCAGGAACACGCAACAGGGGGGAAATTCTACGAGAGCGCTCTGGGGAAGGGGTAGGGAAAGTAGTGTCACCATCAGTTGTCTAAGGTAGCCTGCCAGCAAAAATGATCACTTCAGCTTGCAATGTTGCCAGTGCAAACGCTCAATATGATCTACATATCTGATAGCTAAAATTAGCGCACCACCCCCAACTAGTCTCACGGTCTGCGTCTTTTCCGTCCCTCGATCACCGTTTTATGAAGTGCACCACGATCAGATCGGATAGCAGGGGAGAGACACTCCCTATCACCTCCTCACTTTTCTGTTTTTAGCTTGGCTAGACTTACAGATTTTTTAGAAATTCTGCCGCGCAGGCAGCATCCATTGACAACACTTTCAATTTTGGAAGGTTTTCTAGATAAGAAGGCTGATTATTGAGATAAATGGCTGTCCTTCATGAGTAATATATCAGAGATTGTTAGAAGTTAGAATAATTAGGGCTATCGAGTAAGCCACGTTGTTAGCACACAAGTGACTACAAAACCTGTACTTAGTTTCACCTCGGCAGTTACTTGAATCAATGCGCTCTACGACTTCAATGACTGAAGGGTCATGATCTCCTTACCAATTTCAGATGTAAACCTGACGTGCAGGCTAGTCTTAAGCCGAAGTAGTAAAATAAACATTAGACTACTCCAAAATTAAAATTGGCCTGTTGCGTGGCGCAAGCCATGAGAGCGTACTCACGACCAGATAAGACAAAACTCCGGCAAAGCCTAGTTTGCCCGTGTTGTAGTCAGACTACGAGGATATTTTGGCATCGACTTCTATTAGTGTAGCTAGAATAGATAGTGTACATAATCAAAATGTTACCGGGCCAACCATAGATTAGAGTTTTGATCCAATATCAGAATAAGCCCATGGGCAATAAATACAACAAAAAGCTCGGGTTTTTGGGCTGAGAGTAACCATCCTCTGTCGCGATCGCTCGCTCTTGTCAGCACAGATCTTGACCCAAATATATATAATGACGTGTCAAGGGTTCCAGTGCTTAGACTTAGCCCGAGCTGATGTTACGCTTCGCCCAGGCACTCCAGAAGCTGTTACCTTTACTAGGGCCAGTACTTACCGAACTTGCTGTAGGTTTTTCATCAACCTTTGAGCTCGTGAAATAACTGCCGAGTCCAAGTGACAATGACTGGCTCGGTGTTGCTCGATGATGACTTAGTCTTGGGGGTATGGGCGAGATTTTTGTGTCTGATTCCATAACTGGAGCTGTTGGGGTGATCTTTTCTTCAGCCCGGGCATTACTAAAATAACTACCAAGCCCTGTGGATGCTGGTAAACTAGGGCTGACCCGATGCTGAATATTTGGCTTCTCTGAACTCGAAGTGTTTTTAAGATCCTGGTTAAGGAGTTTTCGAACGCACTCAATCTTATGTCGAAGTTTCTCTGCCTCTTGCCGAGCATTAGCTTCGGCGGTCTTAGCTTGCACTAATTCAAGAACAAGAACATCGTTTTCTACACTCTGTTTATCTGCATCTAGTGTTACTGGGACAGCTGAAGTTATTGGCAAGCTTTCCGGCTCCATAGGGGGTAATATAATACTGGCACGATAATTCGGGGATATGGGGTTTTTCGGTCCCATACGACCGAGTCGAAGTTCACGCAAATTTCCGAGACCAGACACAGATGACATACGGTTCAGGCCTGATTGAGAGTCGGCACGAGCTGCATTACTATATTGGGTGCTCGCTACTCTCTCTTTGCGCATTTCCTGAAGTTGAAGTTCCAACTTTGATTTTTCGGATTGGGCAGATTGTACACGCAGCTGCCGATCTTTGATCTGGTCACGTAACGTCTTAATTTCTTGATCGTACTCAGATGCCTGTCGACTAAATTCCTGCGACTTTGCTAGTTCGAGCTCAAGCTGTTCTTTTGTCACATCTAATTGATGAGTATAGTAGTTTGATTTGGAAACTTCCGAGGATAACTGTTCTTTAGTGCGATGGAGCTCTTCTTGTAATTGAGCCTTGCTTTGAAGGGTTGAAATTGGCTGACTTTGCGATGTTACGAATCGTGACTCCACCGTATGAATTAAAAACGATAAGTCGTCATGTTTTTTTTCACCTTGAAGCGAGCTGGTAGGGTTTGGAGAAGATAATTCAACCTTCGCATTATCTACACCTGATTCGGTAGAGGTTACTTCGGATACCCCGCCAACAAATATCGAGGTATTAGTATTTTGAAGCCTTTTGAGTAGCGTGGAGACGACACTACGATCCTCGTCTCGCTCCTCCCTTTCCTTCTGTAGCTGAGTGAACAGCAAGGCATTTTCTTTCTGAAGCTCGTTAAGAGCCATTAGGAGATCCTCTATTTGGGTATGGAGATTCTTATCAGCTTTGGCAGCTTGGACGCTCGTGAGCGAGTGTGTAAGAATAGAAGTTCCCTCTGTGTTTGATGAGTCTCTCATTACTGATGTCGCGTCCGTACTTAAACTCAAGGTACTATCAGAGGCACCATCGTCTATTGAGTTTAGCGTCAACGCCATGCTTTGCTTGCTCCAAGAACGTCGTAGCACACTGGAGGGGCTAATTGGGTCTACTGTCCGAGAATTTCTGCTCTCAGTTTTTGGGCTTGGACTGGGGCCCGCCCAGAGCCTTCCCAAAAATCGAGTAGCTGCAGAGCCTACGTTTTGCGACGATGCCGCCAAGTCATCTGACTGTTTTTCCCTGTACTCTGAACCGAGAACCTGGAGATTTTCGACCGTTATTTGATCTGAAAGACTCACAAAATCATTAACAAACTCGTCCGCATTGTAGTGATAAACATCCCAGAGACCGCGCGAAAGAAGAAGGGAAATGACGTCTTCATATTCAGCACAAGCTAGAATCTTTGACTCATTCTTCTGCATGAGCGAGAGCGCTACGCGCATTATGGTAACCGACGCTCCTTCTGCAAATATCACATCGTATATCCGAAATAACATAGGCAAGGGACAAGTGACGGCGAAGAAGGATAGAAACCATTGAGATACGTAAGCAGGCTCGATTTCCATAGCATCTAAATGAACCGATAGATTTGGAACGAGTGTTTTGAGAAGTTGGCGAAACTGATAAATGCGCATGTGTAGGCCTGATAAGTCTGGAAGGAAGCAGCTCCGCATTTCATAGGATTCCATTAACCTGTAAGGTGAGCAGAGATATCGGATATTACCGCGGATGATACACACCTCACCAATACACTGAAGGCCTGCTTGTCTCCCATATGCATGAGAAGCGGGCCAACAAGGAATGCCAATCCTTGACAGTAGCCAATTTCATCATCGTACAGACTGAAGCAGCGGAGAACACGTCCCAGCATCTGTTGACCTTGTCCATCTGGATCTCGGAACATCTCGACACCAGGAAAACTTCGGCCAAGGTCTTTTCCAATCATTCCCTCGTATGGACTTGATTCGCCAGACAGTCTGTCAAATTGCTCTTCTAGAACAGTGTCTCGTGCGCCAGACATGCTCTGCCAGACTACGCCTCGGAGGGGAGCGGGAATTCCATTACGAATTTTCCGGGTCAAAAGGGTCGGGAGATACTGTGCGGTTCTGGCGTGATCTTGAACTAGTGCACCCCAGAATTCGAGATCCGTCATAGGCGGAGGAGTTACCTTACTATATCTTAGGTTGGTGGCTGAAGCTTGTTCTGTGGATGTGAGAGTTTGGCGGCTATTGGGTGTCATAGTATTCCTGCTTTCTGTCTTGATCTCAACCCCTGAGTAAGGGGATCTAGGCTCGGAGTCGGTCAATGAAGAGTCGTCTTCGGATGGAGCTGATTGTAAGGAACTTTTGGAGGGCTTTTTTGTCAGTTCATGGGATGATTTCTTTATTTCAGATAGGCATAGCTCACATTATCCAGCGTCATACCTTGAAGCAACATCGCCTCATTCTCAATCTCATCTTGAGGCGAAGAAGCTGGTGAATCAGAGTCATTGTCTTGGCCGTGTAGCCATGCAGAGACGGCGAACTTCGTGACATTAGGCACACTAGAGGTACGTTCTTTGGGTTTCGGTATATCTTCTGGTATAGACTGTATATCCGGTGCTACGGCTCCTGGAGATGGTAAAAGTGACTTGGTGAAGCGTTGATCCATCATGACGGCTGTCGTATCTTCGTCAGGCGTTGAGCCAAGGTTGGTCTCCACGACTTTGGGTTGAATAGAAATTGGATCATGAACGGAGGTGCTGGATGTAGTTGTTTTATTTACTTCTTGTAATTTCTCTACTTGTTCTTCCTCTTTTTCTTCGTTTTCTACCTCTTTTTCTTGTTGCTGAGTTGGGCCTGATGGAGGAGCGACGCTAGCGTCCATCCTCAGTTACCGGATCTGATCAAGATTTCTACTTTTTTGTGGTTTATCGACGTTGTTTGTAGTGGTCCCAGTAAATCTTACTATTTTGCAGAGGGGATGGAACGATAGATCGTAAGGGTTTCAGGGCTGTCCGAAACGCTATCAAGAGCCAGATGAAGATGACTCAGCGGGGTGTCATAAACAGAATGAAGATTGAATGAATGTACATGTTGATGATGATAATAATGATGCAGGTAACGAAGGGGAAGGAGTGGATTGGTCGGATGAGTTGAAAATGCGAAATGAGGGGACGATTGCAAAGTCAAAGGATGCAATGGACGGACGGTGGGCTGGTGTATCGGTATCCGCTGGGGACCTGCACGCCTTGAAGGTAATAAGAAGCTCCCCTTTTCCCCGTGCATCATGATGGTGCCGAAGATAGTTCAGGGGCAAGTCGCAGCAGGTAGCGGCGGAGTAGTAATGATGGAGGTGGTGGTGGTCGTCGTTGTCGCTGCCACAGGCCCTGGTCGGGGTCAGCAAGCCTGATTGGCCTAGATCCGAGGATAATGAGATTTAAGCCTGATGTGATATACCCTGATAGAATTTATGCAGCGAGAGTCGCGCCCTTGGACGTCTGACCCACTTTGTCGCATTAGGCTGCCACTTTCGGCTAGTCCGAGACCACAGCCAATAATGCTCCCCCCGCCCATGAGGTGGCGGGCATGATGAATGAATTCGAGTTGGCTGGCGCCAGAAAGTATTGCCGTGTCTTGTGTCTACTCACCAACGACGGCCCGAGGGAGATGAGAACTAACTCAGCAATGATCAGCCATCTTACGACCCCTAGATCTGGATGGATGTGCAGGCTATCCCCGTCGGTCGATACATCTAATCCTGCTCCCGTGCCAGCAGCCGAAGAAGAGCAGACACCTACGCCCTCGCGCAGGTCCACGCTATATTGTCGACTAGGGACGCATGCGAAGTCACACTACGGATGATTGGGACCTACCGCAGTAGAGGCCAACGTTGGAAACGCCAAGTCGATGACGGATAATTGACACTTGTCGCGGTGGAAGGGCCCTACACGCTCCTTCTGTCGGCCGTCTGCAATATTTTATCGAGGAGGAATCGATAAGTACGCGATAAGGATCATCCTCAGACACTGGCTATGCAGCGAGATTTGGTGGGGTAGTCGGATGATTACCTTCCTCTTGCACGTCTCCGGCGGCGCAGCTTGTCTACTTGGTGGCTAGCGAGGATGAGGGCCGCTGCCTAGTCCTCTACGGTCGTTGTCCCTTGAGACAGACTAGCCCCAGTCCACGAGCAAGTCACAGCAATTGAATCATACGTCGCGACTCGTGCCATTACGGGCGCATCAGGCTGGCCGCTAGCAATAGGGACAACTGGAATGACAGCAACCACAGCAACGATAACATCATTCAGTGCTCCACGGTCGTGTACAATCCCAGTTTTCGTTCGAGAACAGCCTGTATACAGCGTGCGTGATACAGTCAGCCATTCACAACAACTCTTGGTCCCTCAGTGGGACAATTCTCGACACCTAACTGTAGAGTCCCCTAGAAGCCTCCAGCTCCACTGTAGAGTCTGCAGAGCTGAGATTGAGTAACAAAGTCATCACTTCGATGGAGATTCCCAGTCGCTTTCGCGGTCTGTATCGTCTACATTGTTTTCATCTCTCAACAAATTCCCTTATCACCATTATCTTGAAGCTAACCACGATCAGTTCAGAAGTTGAGGTTGAAGTCCTTCTCATCACCAACCCTTAATCATGGAGGAGAAGCCATACGATGAGTTTCCGGAGCATTCCCAAGCACCCGATACGGCGATGGTGGATTGGATCAAGTCGGCCTCGACAGTTACAAAGAAGGGAGATATAGATGAATATGCGCACCTCATGTGGTCCCGGTGTCTAGGCATCGCCTGGCTGGGACTGCAGGTTTTTTGAGACTTTTTCCCGCGCACTCAGTTTCCATTGCTACCATTTTTATTTTTTTATGGGTAGGAGGTTTCGTGGAAAAGATGGCCGAATTTCTCGGGTAAACACTGAGCTGAATGGCTATTCATCACGGGCAATATATCAACGATCTTTCAAGCAACGAAAGAGGATAGGAGCACTATAGAAGGTGTGGCCTGGGCCAGAACGAAGCCCAATGTGCTAGATATTTTATGATTCGAATAGTTCAATAAATACACCTCTCTCTCTCTCTCTTTCTTGATGAAGGTAGGTGCCCAAGCTACGCATACTTGAATTCGGGGAGATAACGAAATGTAGTCGGTTTGAGATACCTTTCTTCGTTGCCCGTTTTTAGAGTGTCGGTAGCACTATCCGAAATCGATGCCTCTGCGCCTTCAGGCACCCTTAAGTCGAGAACATTCAAAAATGTGCGTCCCAAAGGGCCTCTACGCGACCCTAACCACTTCTCATCGAGCCCCGGTCCCAGCTAATCTTTGCATATCACTAAGCCGGCCCCCGTCCCTAGCACCGGACAAGACTGTTCAAGAAATCTAGATTCTACGGGAAACAGCGATGCGCTGCCTATCACTGGACCTCCAACAAACTGGACGATTAAGGTTTGCCCTTCCTATGTACACATGCCGGTACCGTGCCGAGCAGCCAGAGTTAGCATTTTTCGCCAAGCCGCGTTGGGCTGAAGACCCTCTCTGCCTGGCGTCCCGAGTCTCGTCTGCAGGCTGTAGATACGGCGTCCTCTTGCGCCCGGCGATGCCGATTACTAGCACAGCTTACCCACCGCATGACGAAGTTCTGCCTTTGTGAGTTAAGGTTTAGAGGCTCCTTTGAGAGGTCGGGTCGCTCGTGCGTACATATGGACGAGGGTTCACTAGCTAGTGTAACAGGAACCTCTTCTACCGAGCTCAGGCACTTGGATCCGCGAGTATACGTCTCCTCGTCGTCACCGGACACATATAATATGAATCAGAGGTACACTTTGTGTGCAAATATCCAATGTCATTCTACAATTGAAGAAAAATAGTCAATGCCTCAAGCTCAAGAGTCGAAAACAGCCGCTAGACTCCAATTGAGTTCAAAGAACGCTTGCTACTCGCAAGTCCGACCGGCTGCTGCTCTCTTAAGTGGGTCAAAACACGTGACCATACATGTAATTAAAGTGCAGGACCGCCCCGATGACCTCATCCTGACCCCGACAACCCGGCCCCTATCATTGTAGAGTCTGTACTGCCGAGGTTTGAGTCTAACACTAGCCAGAAGTGCTGCTATCCTCAGTGGGTCTGAAGCATTTTTGACAACCTCAGACGACATACAGTTAGGACACGCTAGTTAACCGGAACCGCTCTGTAGAACTATTCTCAACACCTAACTGTAGAGTCCCCTAGAAGCCTCCAGCTCCACTGTAGAGTCTGCAGAGCGGAGATTGAGTAACAAAGCCCTCACTTCGATGAGGATTCCCAATCGCTATCGCGGTCTGTATCGTCTTCATCTCTCAACACATTCTCCTATCATCATTATCATGAAGCCAACCACGATCAGATCAAATGGCAGGGTCGAAGCCCTTCTCATTACCAAACCTTCATCACGGAGGAGAGGCCATCTGATGAGTTTGGGGAGCGTACCAAGCATCCGATACGGAGATGGTGGATTGGATAAGTCGGCCTCGACCGTTACAGAGAAGGAATATATAGATGAATATGCGCACCTCATGCTGTGCTGGTGTCCAGGCCTCATCTGGCTTGGAATGCAGGATCTGTGAGACTTTTTCCCGCGCACGCCGTTTCGATTAATATCCCCTCATTCTTTATGGGTAGGAGGCTCCGTAGAAAAGAAGGTCCAATTCTACGGGTAATTACTGGGATAAATGGCCGAATTTCACGGGTAAACACTGAGCTGAATGGCTATTCATCACGGGCAATATATCAATGATCTTTCAAGTAACTAAAGAGGATAGGAGCACTATAGAAGGTGTGGCCTGGGCCAGAAAGAAGCCCAATGTGCTAGATATTTTATGATTCAAGTAATACAATAAACAAACCCACACACGCTCTGGAAAGGCTCATCTGATGTTTCCATAAAATGTCTGACTCGTTTCTAGACAAGAACGAATTAAGGAAATGACACCTGACGATGAAAATAGAGACATGATTCTTCACCTATAAGCAAGTTTGCGGCGCCTGGCTAGCCGACCTATAAAGGCTTCGGAAGGATGTCAATGTTTGGGGGTTTTGAATTTAGTAATAGAACCACTAAGCGCACACAACGGGATCACTTGACTCCGTCCTTAAGACACTATCTCCTCTTCCATGATCGTAGTTTTTCGAGGTTCTCACTCTTACATGGCATGTGTCCGCTGGTACTTAGAGTGAGACATGTCACCTGTGCGCAAGAGCATAGTATATTATTATCTTCAGCATGGCAGTGAGAAGGCAACGATGAGCTGTCTCTGTAACCATACTAAGATACGAGGGCTTGACTCGACTCAGTAAGATTCAATGTGGTGTTGTTGTCGGATGTCTCGGCCAATATGGTAGCTCTAGATGACTTGTCAAAGAGTATTGATTATACTTCCATGAAGTTGATGCAAGTTATACATATTTGGTAACTACTAGTCTTATGACAGTCTTAATGTCTCAAGAGATTTGTTATTGGTAATTTCTAAGTAGTAATAAGACTGCACATGTCTTCGACTCGTTTGAAGCAATTGGATGCAGTGGACCACCATGTAGAGTTGTATCCGCCTCGTCCGACTATATTCTTCAGATCGCGCTAAGCATCGCTCGTGTGCGTAACCCTTGCCAATCCAATAGTCGAGTCGCTGGGATATATGATTATGTTATTGAGTTTTAGGCTGCATTAAAGTATGTAGTTCCCTTGTACCCAGTTGTTCAGGGGAGCAGCCCCAGGGCTCACAGGCCCTCATCCGCCTACAATAAGCTATTAACACAACTATAATAGCCTACCCTTTACCTACATGTCACCATTCGAGCACAAACTTGCAGACGCGAGACGAAGCAAAGGGGGTCGGGGG